TTCCATTGTTTTTTAGGAAGGGAGAGAGGGAAAGAGAGAGAAAAACACCAATGTGAGACATATATCGATTGGTTGCCTCCTGCAGAACCTCCACCAGGGCCAGGTATCAAACCTGCAATCCAGGCGTGTGCCCTGACCAGGAATCGAACCGGGACCTCTCAGTCCATGGGACGATGCTCAATCCACTGACTCACACTGACCATGCAGATATATATTCTTTATTGTGGTAAAATGCATATAACATAAAAGTTACTATTTTCACATATATTTGAAATATGGATAATCTAATTAACCTATGCTTAAGTTTGTGTGTGTGAATACACATTTTAAAAATCTGAGAAAATATAATAAACTGGTAATAGTTCTGACTTACAGGAGAACTTTCATGTTCTTTTATGTGTTTGAATTTGTTTACCTCAAAGTATTTGAATTTGTTATGACAAACCAATATTATGTTTTCTCTGATCATTTTTTTACCATTTTAGGAAACAAATGATCAAAAATCTTGCTCTTTCTACTGTATCATGCCTACCCAGGAGATACAGCTCTTGCCTCATAATTCCATATTTTTCAATTAGGTATGCACACCAACAAATTGGTGAGACAAACTGGCTATAAAAATGCTGCCATGCCCTGGCCAGTTTGGCTCAGCAGTTAGAAGAGTCGAAGAGTTGCACGTTCGATACCTGATCAAGGGCACATAACTCAGTTGCAGGTTCGATCCCTGGCCCTGGTCAGGAGCTCATATGGGAGGCAGCCAATCAATGTGTCTCTCTCACATCGATGTTTTTCACTCTCTCTCTTTTTCCCTTCCACTTTATCTGAAAACAAAAAAAAATCAATGGAAAAATATCCTCAAGTGAGGAAGAAAGAAAGAAAGAAAGAAAGAAAGAAAGAAAGAAAGAAAGAAAGAAAGAAAGAAAGAAAGAAAGAAAGAAAGAAAGGGAAAGAGAGAGAGAAAAAGAAATGCTGCCAGATACCTGTATGCCACTTGTCTGGCCAATCTTATTTCTGCTGGGCACCACCAGCTTTGGCCACACTTGACTCAAATCTATTCACTTCCTTCTCAAGTTCTGTAGAACACTGTAGCTTTGGGGAGGCAGTTTCTCTGGAAATAGAAAGCCATCCACATTGATCAGATACATTCCTGGCTCTTATTGCCTGTTTAGAGATCTCCTACAGTCTCATATTCACCATAAAGAAAAGCATGGGACAAAATTATTCTCACATTCCCCAAGGTAAAGCCATGATCGCTGATGTGTCAACAGTCTTCTTAGTGGTTCTCTTTGGCTCTGGCCTCCCTCCCATTAGTGTTGCTGCACACTGTGTTGTGGTTTTCAGTATGGCCTTTTAATGTGGTAAAGTAGGAAAGAGGTCCAGAAACTTGGAACCAAGCCCTGGCTAGGTGAGGGGAGCTGCTTAGCTTTATAGAGTGTCAGCTTTTTACTCTGTAAAATTAGGGTAAATAATAGATGCTGGATTTTGAGGCCAATAAAAATTGTCTGTATGATACCATAATGAAGGATACATATAATTTTATATTTGTCCAAACCCATGGAATGTACAACAAACACAAAGAGTGCACCATAATGTAAACTGTGAACTTTGGGTGATTATGATGTGTCAGTAGGTTCACCACTAGTAACAAATGTACCACACTGGTGGGGAGTATTAACAATGGGAGAGGCTGATTATGCATATGTGAGGTGCAGGAGATATTAGGAAAATCTCTGTATCTTCCCCTCAATTTTGCTGTAAACCTAAAACTGCTCTTTAAAAAGTGTTAATTTTTAAAATGGTACTATTTCTCTCTCTTAGGCTTGTCAGAGATCAAATGAGGAAAGGCTTTGAAAGTACAAGTTACAATGCAAACATCAAGATCTATTTTTTTGAACTTAATCTTTTTTTATTTGCATTATAAATTCTTTAGTTAAGAAGCATGGAATAAGTTGGTAAGAACATGAAGCAGGATTTTGGCTGAGAGTATGTAAAAAAATAAAATTAATTAAATTATAAAAAGATGAATGTTAGATATTTTGAAGGAAGTGCTACCTAGGCTCATGCTTAGTTTACCAGAGGGAAAAAGGGAAAGAGGTGGGTCAAAATAACCCCCTAGGCACGTCAAAAGAGATAGGAGGCAACTTGATACCCTGGCTGGTTTTGTTTAGTGGTTGGAGCATCAGCCCAAGGACTGAAGGGTCACAAGTTCGATTCCCAGTCAGGGGCACTACCTGGATTGCAGGTTCAATCCCTAGCCCAGGTCAGTTGGGGTCATGTAGGAGGTGACCAGTCTATGTCTCTCTCACCTTGGTGTGGAAATATACCCTTGGGTGAGGATTAACAAAAAAAAGAGAGAGAGAGAGAAAGACAAGAGGCAACTTGAAAGGGCTCCCAGAGGCCAAAGCTGGAACAATTTGAGCAACAAAATAAATAATGATAGTATTGGATTATAACCTCAAAAGAAAATAAATATAATTAATCCATTCTGATATAAATGAGTGAATAAATAAACTGGGAATAAGGAACAAATTATTAATTTAGAGTTATAATTTTTATGTATTAAAAAGTTATTAATATTTATTTTAAAGTTTTATCTATAGAAAGAATGAGATAAAATTTTAAAATACCTTTAGAACATCATAGTAATCATTGCTGCTGGCAAGATCCACTGGTTGCTAAAACTGATGGATAAGCCCTGCTGATGTGGCTCAGTGGAGTGAGAGGTCCATGGACTGAGAGGTCTCAGTGGACTGAGAGGTCCCATGGACTGAGAGGTCCCATGGACTAAGAGGTCCCAGTTTGATTCCCAGTCAGGGCATGTGCCCAGGTTGTGGGCTCGATCCCCAGTGGGTGGCAGCCAGGAAGGAGGCAGCCGTTTGATGTTTCTCTCTCACACTGATGTTTCTATCTTTTTCTTTCTTCCTCTCTAAAAAATCAATAAAAACATATTTTAAAATAAAAAAAAGCCAGGCTGGTGTGGCTCAGTGGTTGAGCATTGACCCATGCACCAAGAGGTCTCTGATTTGATTCCCAGTCAGGGCACATGCCCAGGTTATGGGCCAAATCCCCAGTGGGGGGCATGCAGGAGGTGTCCAATCGATGTTCTCTCTCATTGATATTTCTATCTCTCTCCCTCTTCCTTCCTCTCTTTCTAAAATCAATAAAGAAAAAAAATTTAAAAGAAAAAGAAAATAAAACTGGTGGGTGAAACTTTAAGAAGAAACAAGATATTTGCATAGCCTGTAAGACTCTCAACCAAAATATGTATTAATTATTGTGGTAGTTTTAACTGATGTCCACAAGTTCTCTGATACTCCTTTCTATAGGAAGTAGAACTTAATTTACCTCCCAATGATTGTGGCCTAGACTTGCTTCTGATTAATGGGATGTGGTCAGAACAAGAGAAAAATAGTAACTTTATGGTGAAAATATCTGGCAAATACCACCCTAAGTGATTAAAGTTAACATCACCAACAGTAAGTCATATACCCCCTGATGTGCTCTGATGCAACGGCACATCACCTATATGGTATTCTTCCCTATAATCTATAAGCTCAGTCTAATCATGAGAAAACATCAGGCAAATCTAAATTGGAGGAATATTCTAGAAAATGTCTGCCCAATACTTTTCAAAAAGTCATGATCATGAAAGTCAAGAAAAGACTGAGAAACTAAGGAGACCGTGGAGACATATTGATGAAATGCAGTATAGATCCTGGAACAGGATTAATGGAAAAACTGGAGAAATTGCATAAAGTCTGTTGTTTAGTGAATAGTGTAGATTTGATTAATGTGCATGATTGTGTAAGATGATAACATTAGGGGAAGCGAGGTGAAGGGTGTACAAGGACTCTGCACTGTCCTTGTAACTTCTGTAAATATAAAATTATTTCAAAATAAAACAATTTTAAATGACCCTCTACTTTTTAAAATTTACTTAACTGGGGAAATGGTTGTGCCATTAATAAGATAAAGGTAGTTAGAAGGAAGAAGTAGGTTGGGGAGGGGTATGACATCAGTGGAAGTAGTAGGCGTTGGAGATGTGCATCTGGAGCTTAAGAAAGAGGTCAGAGCTAGAGATATAGATTTGGGATTAAATCCCAAAGAGATACTATTATTATATTATACTTTCAAATGCAAGAAGAGAACATGTGGAAGGAAACAGTGACCACACTGAGGAAAGGATATGTGTCTAGAGTATGAGCAGAGAAACAGTAGGGAGGGTGGTCAAAACAGATAGGGGTAGGATGTTTTCATAAAAGCCAAGAGAAAATATAATTTCTAGGAAGATCTAGTCAGCACTGTCCAATGATACTGGAAGGGGCTGGAAGATCACCTGAGAAAAGAACACTGGGTTTTAAGTAGGAGCTTAGTGCTGATGTCAAAAACAACAGTGTTGCCCTGGCAGGTTTGGCTCAGCAGTTAGAGCATTGGCTTGCGGTCCGGAGAGACCCAGGTTCAGTTCCCGCTAAGGGCGGCGTGTACCTCGGTTGCAATTTGTCCCCAGCCCTGGTTGGTTGTGTGGGTGGCAGCCATTCAATGTGTCCCTTTCACGTCGATGTTTCTCTCTCTCTCTGTTCCTCCCTCTCCCTCCCACTCTACCTGAACAACAACAACAACAACAACAACAAAATGGAAAAATGTCCTTGGGTGAGGATGATAAAAACAAAACAAAACAACAGTGTTAGTAGAGTACATAAGGAGAGGTGGGGTGGTAGACATAGAAACCAAATGGCCAGAACTCAGCCAAGTAAATGGGTTGAGCAAGCCAGTGTTGGTGCTGAGGGGAAAGGAGCCTTTGGAGGAGAGTGGGACATTCCTGGGGAGAGAGACAGAAAGCACTGGCCAGAGCAGGTGGGCCAAAGGGCTGAGGCCCAAAGCTCAAGAAGTAGAGAGAACGTTGACCAAAAGGAATGTCCTGCCATTTTCTGGCTGCAGGATTCAGGCTGAAAACTAGAAGCCCCGGGTCAATAACTGCTTTTTTTTTTCCTTCCTGAGCTAGGAGGCCATTCTGTTTCCCAAGTCCCAGCTTACCCTCACTGTGGCCTAGAAAGTTAGGCCAGGCAGGAAATGAAGTAAGTGGAACTTATTCATCCTATCTGCAACTTTTATCTAAGATGGAGAATAATTTATGTATTAATATTAGGCATTAAATAGCATTACAGAATGATTTCTATGGGGTATGTGTATGTGTAATAAAAGCTACCCTTGACTGATTACTTATCATGTGTCAGGGACTGTGTTAAGCACTTAATATGTACACATTATCCCATTTAATTCTTTCAACAAGAATATGCAATGCATACTGTTACTTTCCTCATGTTAAAGGTAAAAAACAGACCCAGAGAGATTAGAAATTTGATCAAGATCACACAGATAAGTAAATGGCAGAGTTAGGACTTTCTCCAAAACTCACTTTTAACCACTATGCTATACTGCCTCTTACAAACATTTATGTGTATGTGTGTGCACATGGACACACAAGGACTCAGGCTGTGTGCCAAGAGGTTAACGGGGATATAACTCTGGGTGTTATGACTAAGGATGTTTTTAAAAATATTCTTTTGTGCTTATCTTGACATTTTACAGTGACTGTGTATTCCTCTTGAAATCAGAAAAAGAAATTGATATTTTATTTATGTAACTTTTAAGTTTGGGTGTTCTTTGCCAAAATTCTGTAATACCCCTAATGGGAACAAAGCAGATGCTTTCTGCTCAACTGCAGACAAAGGAAACTCTGCCTTCTCTTCAGCAGTACAGGCTCTGCAGTGACAGTAGGGAGAATCTGGCACGCGTGCACACGTGTGTGTGTGCGCGCGCGCACACACGTGAGTGCAGCAGCTGCGGAAATGAGGAGAGGAACTCTCTGAAGATGTGCCAGATGGAGAACTCTCTCCCTCACCTACCTTGTCCCTGTGCCAGGCCTCTTTAGTCCTGAGCATCCAAAGGTACTGGAGATATTTTTCACACATACCAAGATCCTCAACTTTACCCTTTGTTGAAAATCTGGTCAGGGAGCAAGATTGCTTGAGTAAAGCCCAGACTGCAGCTATAAAGAGTAATGGGAATCATTCTGGAGCTACTTCAGGCCATGAAGGACATGGTTCAAGCAGGCAGTTGGTATTAAGGCTGGGCAGGGAGGAGCCAGCAGCATCTAAGGCTGGCATTAACCGACAGGTGAGGCTCTTGTCCAAAGCTGCCAAGTCTTCAGGTAGAGGCAATTCAGAACCCTGGAGAGCTCCTAGAGAGGCCTCAATCCCTTCCAGGTCTGAGAAGCCTAGCTGCCTAGTCCTTAAGGCCCTTGCTCATTTAATTTTAAACAGCCTTCCTACATGTGTCTCTAGCTGTGAAAGGGCCTGCCCTCTTCTCTTCAGAAAATAAGTTCTATGGATCCAAGGACTCCCCCTTACCCCTTCTGGCCCCTGCCCCACCTTTCCCCACAAACATCTAGCCTGACTGAACTCTGTTGAGGTCACCATCACTCTGAAGGTGAAATAAGCTTTTGAGACAACCATGTCAACTCCTAAGGTGTCCTTAGCCAGGGCCTGACACCCTGATACCTCAAAGCTGTAGGACTCTGGGGGGAGGGTAAGGGTGGTGGAACAAGGGAGTGTGAAATAGGCCTTTCTCTCTAATACTCCTGTACCTGCACTGCCCTCTTCAATCTGAGAATGAGGCAGGGGAAACTAAGGGGAAATACTGAGCAAGTTTCAAAGCCTGAAGCTGCAAACTTGCATTACTGGACTGTTGGCCTGGTATTGGGAATACACTTGATTTAAAGACATCATTTTTAGGGGAAGGACATTGAAATATAGTGGAAGGTGGTAGATGTAGGAAGTAGAAGCAGAAATGAACTAGTGAGTCTGGGGCTTCACAGCCTGCCACCCCCACTCTAGCCATACAAATGACCCCTAGACAGAGAATTAAATACCACTGTGGAGGGGTTCTTTCTAAATCCTCCAAATCATCTAGAGGAGAAATGTGTGTGTAAGGGCAGAGGAATCATAGTCATTTACTAGGGATTTGATTTTCTAGTTGAAATTTCCTCCTCTACCTCCAGGCCTCTTCCATGGCTAAATGAATCAGAACCAGCAAATAAGATTACTATGCCCTCACTTTGATTGCCTGGTTTGGTGAGTGAGGAGGAAGGTAAGTCTAACTGAATTGAAGCTGAGTGAAAACACTCAGGATCCCATCCCTGCCAAGCAGCCCTGCTCTGGGCCTTGTGCAAGGCTCTCCTCCATTGCTTTCTTCACCTCTTAGAGTCTCCTGGGTCCCTTACTGAAGAAAATCTCTGAGCCCTAAGGCCATTTGATATGTCTTATAACTCAAAGAACGTCCTGGTCAAAGAAATAAGCATTAAAGCAATAGTGAAACCACCAGAGAACAGCTGCATGCTCCCTCCCTTAGCACCAGCCAGTCATAGTGGGGCAGGGAAGAGTAGGGAAGAGAAAAGAATGGTGTTTTCTAAGCCATAAGTGGACCTGTCAGAGTTTGGGCTGGCAGGACTAGGATTGCCCCTACCCCTGACACTCCTGGAGATGAGAGCATAAACAATGTAGTAACTAATTTATTGAATGAAAGATACTCAGAGGATCTGGATCCAGACTGTTTCTCAGCCCGGCCCCTCTCTTGCCTTTAGATATAGTGTATTCCAGCTTCTGGGGGAGGCTCTTCCTATAGGATTAAGCACAGGGTTTTGATACACAAGGAAACCTGTAGAAGAAATTATAACAGAGGAGGACTCATTCAGATTCCAGGAGAATTGTTAGTGTTGGTTTCTATTAAAGTAGAACATGCCTAACCTCATCTGATGCTTGCTTTTGGCCTGTTCTCTCAGGGGCAAAGGTGCCCCACCCCCCACATGCTTGCCTTCCTTACAGTCATTGTTTTATTTAGGAGCAGTGATTATGTGACCACAAACCTTACTAAACTGAATACAATCCTGAACATTCAGAAGAAGAAACAGTTTAGGACTCAGGGGAGGGAGCAGCTGGCTGGAAAGAAGGGTCCATGAATTTTAATCCCAGGAATGCCATCTGGTATTGACCTGGGACAACTTATTCACTTTCTGCCGTGCAGACTCTTTCTAGAATCTCAGAGCCTGAATAAAAACAGACCTGTGAGCTCAGAGAGTGAAACAACCTGTCTAGACTCCCAAAGTCAGTGCAGTTCACAAGCAAAACTGGAATCCACAGACCCTACTCTCTAGCCAGAGATTTTGATTACTGTTCAGGGAGGTTTCTTATGTCTCCTTTGCTGCCTCCTTGCCCTTATGTCTGAACTCCCAAGAACTTTCCTGCCTTGGGCAGTACACTTCCATGTTTATAAGCCTCACACTGTTAAAAAGCTCTTTGAACAGACAAAGGATCAAGCAGCCCCATTCTTCTATCCCTCCAAAGGGTTTCCTGATGGTTTAGATTCCAAGCTGGCTGCCCACTCCTCTAATACTCAACAATAAGAGTTGGGTCTTACTTATATAAAGGCCCAAGTAGAATTCTATATCTGATCTGCAAGCAAAATCGGAGCCTTGCCCTTGAGTCACAGAGAAAGTTCTGTCTGCCCAGCTAGTGATCAGTTCCCACGAGAAGCTGACTTAGGTTTGAGCTGCTGCTTTGGCCATTGACCTCAAGTGGGGTTTTTTGTTTGGTTGGTTGGTTGTTTTTGTTAATCCTCACCCGAGGATATTTTTTTCATTGATTTTAGGGAGAGAGTGGAAAGGAGGGAGGGAGAAACATTGATGTGAGAGAGACATATTGATTGGTTGCCTCCCACACAACCCTGACTGGAATGGGAGTCAAACCTGCAACCCAGGTACGTGCACTTGACTGGAATTGAAGCTGTGACCCTTTGGTCCATGGGCTGATGTTCTAATCGCTGAGCCAAACTGGCCAGATCTTAAGTGGGGTTTTAACTAGGCCAGGCCTTTAAGTAAGCAAGTGAGAGAAGGTTTTGAGGACTCCTACTTTGGCTGTTCTCCAAAATAACTTCCTGTAAGGTAACCTTTCAGCCCCTGGCAAGAGGCTTACATAGATGAAGTGGTACTATAAGAAGCACACAATACAACATCTGTCTGGGACACTATTAGACAAGCCCTGGCATAGCCTGGCAGGCCACTGGCCTTTCGCCATCTCTCTGTTACAGAAATATCTTTGCTGTGGCTTCAAACCAAGTAGAAGGAAATCTGTTTGTTATCAGATTATAGCCCTTCATTCTCTGTGCTAGGCACTGGGAGGATAGAGTGGAGAAAAGCATGGTCCTTGCCTTTATGAACATTTACTAAACAAATAAATTACACAAATAATAATTTAAGTAAAATATGATAAGTACATGAAAGGAATGTATGAGGGAGGGACTGTGAGAGTATATTATAGAGGAGCCTAACCCAGCCTGGTATTGATGGGAAACTTCTTTTAAGGGATGATGTGTCAGCCAAAGCATGAAGGACAAGTAAGATCTGGACATGAGGCAGAATGATCTTGGTGCTCCACTAGGAGCAAAGAAAACTGGTGATACAAAGTAGTAAGGTAAAGGAAGAGTGCAGAGATGAGGTTGTGGGAACATCATTCTTTACCACCATTCTTAGCTCAGTTTGAGTGACTCCTTTAAAAAGGGAGGGGGGGCTAGTTGCGACACACCTAAAGTGCCATGGCATGATCCCCCCTCCCCCGCCCCTGGGAGGCTGGTGCTTGTTCTACCTTCATGGCACGGGGGACGCTCACAGACATGCTCATGAGAGATGCTTCTAGCCCCAGCCTGGGGTTCACACAAATAGAGTGGTCCTCACCTGGCAGCACAGCTCAGAGGAGGGAGGAGGCAAGAAAGACTAGGCACTTATTTTCACTACAAATCCTCTCTGTATATTTTTCCATTGCTTTGAACTGTTTATTAATACATGACAGAAGCCATTTCCCTATTTAGATGGTTCCACTGGGAATTCTATACCATCACCCCTCTCCTGAGGTAGATAAAAAATGTCAGCTTTCAAGATTTTATACTTGGATTTCAGAAACTAAATTACATTACTACATCCGGTGAGACGGCGCCGTTGTCTATTTCTATCTGCACGCTCCAGGCACTGAGACCGATAACATCAGTGTGTCGAAGCAGTTCAATCCAGACAATTTGCAGCTGGCTGGAGCTGGGCCAGAGGGTAGGGAGTGGCAAAATTCTCTCAGAATCCAGAGCAGCCCTGGGTTGACTGTAGACTGGGATCCAGGATTTTCAGGTTCTTCCCATAGACCATCAGTTCTCTCCTATCTGTAGAGAGAGAACACATCTTAGATGTAACAAGGAGTTGAAAATTACTCTCTTAAACACTGGAACAAGATAAAATCACTGAGGATCTAATGCCCAGGTTTTCACTGAAGTGAAAGATAGAAGGGAGTGGGGTTGAGGGGGGAAGAGTGGAAGTCATCATATAGACAAGGCAGGTTCCAACTACCTATGAAATTAGGTGTCCATATAAAAGTCAAATATGCCTGGAAATGGTTATTCTATGCTTCTTTGAAACCCAGATGCGAGGACTTGTAACTAACCTTCTGACTGCTACATGGTTGTGGAATGAAGAGAAAGCATTGTTCTCCTGCCAGGAAACACAGGAACTTTTGAAGTTTCCTTGCTAATTGTAACCAACATTTAACCCTACAGAATGAGCATCCTTTCACAGCCAAAAAAAATTTGTTTATTTGCCAGTCCTCTGCCCTAATGCAAACCTGGCTTTCCTGTACCTCAATGCTCTGCCCACTCACCCATAGGTTCTAGTGGTTGGATGGACAGAAGAACTAGGATCTACCCGAATTCTAACTGTATAGTTCGGGTATAATGTAGTTACTAACTCCATTACTATACCTGAGGGATGGATTAATAATGAGGCCAAGTGATTCTTTAGTTTTATAGAAAAATATTATTGAAGGTAATGTTCATACTTGGTGAAACAGGTATTCAGTGTTCTAGAAAAATCTCAATGCAGCCTGTTCTACACTGTCCTAGATTCCCAGGCTGCTCCTGTTAGGTCTGTGCAGGCCTCTGGCCCCAAGAACTAGAAGCCCAGGGTCTTTGCTGCTTTCTGCCAATGCCTGGGGTGGATGATCCAAGACTAAGTCAGGGGACTGTGGTACAGCCAGAATTGGGGGCAACTACTCACCTCTCTGCTTGATGTTACTTTGAAGTTGGCCAGGCCCTGGTCATCCCCCCTTGCCTTCAGCCCACCCTTGCCCAACTTCTTAAGAAATAGCAGACCTGCCATGATCTCTGGACCATGGCTGGACCTATCTACTGGATGGCTTCTCCCTGTGGGGAGTCTCAAGCCTGCCAAGGATCAGACACATAACTGTTGAGAACAAAATAAAATTGTTACTGAAATATCAGCAAACCGGAGAAGAAACACTGTCTTGAGTTTTCTTATTTGATGTTTTCAAACAGCTGGTCCTTCTCTGCTGCCTCTTTCCTGGGACTACCCTCAACTATCCTCTAGTCTTTCATCATTTAAGTGCTCCTCCAGGACTCTTGTTCTGGTTCCTCCATTATCCTTCTCAAAAAAATGTGTCCTTCTCAGACATCCATGACACCAAACTCTCCTTGGTCCCCTGACTCTGATCACAGCTGTCCATCTTCTACTACCCCTTCAGTGTTGGTGCTCCCCAAGTTCTTTCCTCTGACCTTTCATATCTATGGACATACCAGTGCACAAAACAAAATCATTAGAACTTGCTCTTATTTCTGTTTCTCTGTCTTGTTTGGTGGCATCACAATTCACCCAGTCATCTGAACCAGGAGGAAACCTGGCAGTCATCTTTGCCTTGTTCTTTACCCTCAAACTCAGATCCAGTCAGCCACTGAGCCCTGAGTTTGACCTCAATGTGTTTTTCTGCTTCATTCCCTTTTCTCCAACTCCACTGACTGCCTTTTTCAAGTTTTTGTCACCTCTTGCAATGCCTCATATCTGGTTACCCTGCCTACAGTTTAATCATTCCTTCCCATTCTCTCTACATGGCTCCCAGAGTGATCTGTCTATATAAATCTGACAATGAGCTGAAAATCCTTCAATAGTTCCCCATTGTTTCCAGTTAAAGTTGGAAGCTCTGAACATGACTTATAAAGCCCTTCATGATATTAAGCCTTCCCCCCATTCTAGTCTCATCACCTGC